ATCAGAAACATGTGCATGCCAATTGAGGGTCAAATCGGTGTATACCTAGGATAATATATTACCGAAAACATCACTGCTTTCTGAATCGAGTAACTTGAAATGGTATTCCATCTCCATATGCGTGACTATTAAGCAGTAGGTTAACCAAGTCGTAAGGGTATTCACCTAAATACTCTACCTTAGGTTTCATCTCGGCTATCTGACCATAATGAATTTGGCCTAGCACATGCCTATCCCGTACGGTATATCGAACCAGATCGCTAAGCTTGGCGCTTCCAATAAATCCATTTATTGGCCCAGCGATCACCACGGCCGAGCGAGTATGCCAGAGTAGCCGGCAGGTGTGATTAAGGCATAGGGGGGCAATATTAAGTAGTAGCCCCAAAACCCACCTGTATTTCTCATAAAATAGACCCCCAGCCAATAACCAGCGACAAGGGTTATGGATAGATATAAAATTCAAAAACCTAGAATATCCGCAATACCCCGGACGAGCACTTTCGGGAAAGCATCTTGGCTGCAGGAATGCACGGAAGTTTTGGATCGACGAATCCGCCGGAAGGAAAGCGGAAAGGCCGTAAGGAAGGCCGGAAATTCTGATATCCGGAGGCTATGGACAGTGGGAGTTTATCTTTTCTTTGTTAGCAAGAGAATCATAGCAAGGGAAGTGGAAGCAAACAAGAAATAGTATGGACATGTGTAGTACTCTATAAAGAACAGAAGTACTTGGTTGTTATTGCTATTTCTGCTCCTGTCTTTACCGTTAGCAAGTTAAGAGAGGAAGAAGAGAACTTCCCCGCTCCTGAGTTGTTAGATCATTTCGTGGGTAAACCCCTGGCGTCCCGCCACGCCGGCCTGCGGTTGCTATCATTCTCGCCGATCCACATTTAAAAAGTTCCCTTTCCACCAAGGCTCTCCCGGCTAGAGTGTATGAGCACCCCGTAGTCTAGCTCCATTCACAGACTATCACTCAGGCCGCTGCTCAATGCCACAATCCCACTAGGGTGGAGCCATGACACCGTGGGATGGAGCCAGCGGATCAGAGCCATATATGATGCCATCCCAAACTCTGTAGATTCAAATATGATACTCCCGTGGCGATTCCATGACACTCTCCAAAAAAAAAAAAAGTCTCCTACTATCCCTGCATGGCCAGCGCCCGCGCAAACAAAGATTCCGGTGCAAGGAAATAACACCGGCCACTTTACCCATGGTGGGTGAGTCGGTGAGCAACAGGAAATGCTAGTTTCTAGACAGATTACCTTTTGAGGTCAACCCCCTTTTTTCCCTTATCACCTATCGAGGACATAGCCCTTGCCAGTTCATTCCCGGCACGGACTAAAGAGTAAGGCGGAATGCGAATCGTACCAATAACAGGAGGTAACGAGCAAGCACCCGAGTAGCTGTGCCTGCAGCTCCTAGGCTCATGTTCTACGCCAATGATTCGCTAGAGCTCTGAAACGCTCAGGCTTATGCATATATCAGGCTGTGATATATTAATTCCCGAGTCAACAAAAGTGCAACCAGCCTCACAAGAGTAACTCAAAAACTCGCGGTCCCCCTTCCCCTCTTCTGTCAAATCTCACGCCTAGAACCTACCTATTGTACTTTTTGCTGCCTCCTTAACTCGCCATTCCACTAGAAAGATGTATGTGTGTTGCCTTTCTCTTATTTTTCCCCCTAGTCATTGCTGCGCAAGTACCAACCGTGATCAAATCAGGTAGCGCATTTCTAATCAGTGGTTGATATAGACCAGCAGTTCAACTCAGACTAATAACAGACAGGTCCGGCGACATGCCACAAAATTCAGACAAGGACGAATTACACTCCGCTCTTAGCCCATCCAGCGGTACCATTGATAATAGGGAGACTGCCGATGAGGAGGACGGTGGAAACCCAAAAAACAACATCGACATTTCCCCTGCCCCCGAGAACCCCCCCCGGAACGTCCGTCCCGGCCCGCCGGTCATCTTCTGCCAATACAACAAGTGTTCCGGCAACAGGTTAGCAATCCCCCTTCACCAAACTGTATATCAGTATCCCCACCCACTGCATGGTGTTAACATGAATTGTACCGCGCCCTTGCAGCGGCCCCCACGTTTGCACCCCGGACAGATATACATGCAGTGCCCCTAATTGCTCGTGGCCTGCAAGCTTCAGGACCAAGCAAGCCCTCAATAGACACTACCAGGCACAACATAACAACCACCGGGTGGATTGTCCTGTTGAAGGCTGCTTGCACGTCGGGGATCGCGGTATCAAGCGGGCTGATAATCTTCCTGCTCACTTGTTGAACAAGCACGGGATTTCCAGTACCAGGCCGCCATATGGGAATTAGATTTGCCGGCGTCAGCACCGTTGGTAACACGCCGGGCTATCATTGACTTATGTGTCTCCTAGACGCGTGGAATAATCTTGCTCTCATTCTATCTATCCTTTTCCTTCCCCGAGCTGTATCCTATTTCCAATCTATTCAATCCTCGATTCCGCATTCACAGACCACCCCGTTACTACATTTTGTCATCTCATGTCTTGTAGCCTCCGAAGTCTGCCCCTTTGCGTCAAGATCATACGTACAGCAAGTCTTTCATATCTTCTATCTCTTTCACGCGATTCTCTTCCCTCTACCTTACCACCTACCACCATCTGTCTCCCCCATTTCCTCGACACTCCACTCATTCATGGGACACATCCAGTTTTAAGCGCCCAGTAACTTATACAATAAAATTTCAGCTCTCGCGTACAGTACTCGCACATGTATTGGTGACATCCATCGCCAAAAGATGATAGAGCCGTTTAACTGGCATGTCACTTGTTCTGCTCCTTTGCCGCCAATACGGTGCAAGATCCCGAATAAAAATCCCATATTCCAGGCAGCCCAAAATTCCCCCCCCCCCGGGAAAAGGAAGCTACATACATACCAAAGAAACAAACAAACCCAATACCCTACAAGGGGGAATACACCCAGCGCCCCAGCACATAGTCTAATTATCCGAGGTTCCCAGGGTAGCGCATTGTGTGTGGTTTACATCGAGTACAGTATTCTCAGCACCCCCGCCGCTCTTATGCCAACCACTAGCCCAGTCCCAACACTCCAATCCAATGACCATGTGATCTAGGCCCACCATCCAACTCTTCAACTCTCAACAGAGAGAATTCCGTTCTCCCTCACTGATTCCCTGACACTGCACAAAGCGCGAAAATCCCCGGTGGACAGATTCAGCGTGTGGTGTGTGGTAATGATTCGAGTGTAATGACACAGTACCCAGAGAGGGGGATCCAAAGGAACCAGCAGTAACCGCCGTGCGCTCAGCATAGCTACGGTAGTTTATCCCTTCTATGCACTAGCCGGGGTGAAACAATCCACCAGTCAAAGGTATTACAGTAACGCAAGGGTACTTGTGCCCGAGTACGCGAGTAGAGTGCTTGCAGCTCCCAGGCTCATGTTCAATGCCAATGATTGGCCATTGCCCTCAAAATCTCAGGCTCGTTCATGTCATATCGCGATAAATGAATAACCAATGCCACAAAAAAAAAGCGCAACCCTCCCCACAATGAAACTCATACATGTTACAAGCCACCCCCCCCCACAAGCACCCTCCAAGCTTTGCTTGTTGGAGGCTAGCTTTTGCACTCTCTGCTTCTAGCCTAACCGACCATGACACGAAAACATGTGAGGCTCTTCGCTTTTTTCTTTTAACGCTGAGCAGGTTTACAAGCCAGACTTACACCCCAGTCTCTGGTTTTTCCCTCGCTGATCCTCAAGAACCAGAAAACCCATTCGGATTACAAACACAGCCCGGCAATCTCCCACTACATCCGGACAAGAATTAGCATGACTAGTATCCAGTTCTCGGCTCCCTCACTGGCACAAGTGCCACCAATAATCCCGAGCCAGCCAACGAGGCAAACGAAGTAATCCCGGAAAACAACATCACCATCAACATCGCTCCCGAGTACCTGCAAGAAACGCCCGCTCCGGTCCCCAATCATCTTCCGTCAATATCGCTAGTGCCCCGGCACCAGGTTGGCAACCCTACTTCACCCTACACTATACTCGCACCTGCTATATGACACTAACATGTACTGTACTACTCTTGCAGCGGCCTCCATTCCTGCGCCCCCGCCAGATTTACCTGTGAAGTCCCTAATCACTCCCAGAACGGAAGCTCCAAAATGAAAAAAACCTTCAACCGACGCTACCGCGCAAATCAACTCAATGGCCTTGTAGATTTCCCGGTCGAAGGGTGCTTCTTTCGTAGCTCGCGGGACCAAGCTGGGTGACAACCTTGCCCCTCACTTGCTGAGCAGGCACGGAAACTCTCGTACTGGGGCGCCATAAGGGAACTAGATATTGGAGGATCGTACTACCTCATCTTGTGTCTCCCTGAATTAGGTTCGGGTCCGTAACTGGTTTCTTTCGTTTATACTTTTTGAAGGAAAGAGAGGTTTGGAAGTTGAAGGTGCTTGGTCTGGTGATTAGGAACCGAAATGATAGACACATACTTTACTCCACTTGCTTGCTTTGCCTGCGACTAAAACGTGATCAATGTCCTATGTGAACCTCGGGTATAGTGTTCAGTAGCGCGTAGAAACCGGCATCCGGAGCCTGAGGGGTTGACTCTCCCGGCCTACAACGTAAGATAGATATAGTGATAAGAGGGTGCAAATTCCTAAGCTAGTGACTCCGGACGGTCCTTAGGGGTAGGTGTGAGGCCCAATGAGCTTGATACAAAACCAGCCAGAATGCCAGTCAAGAAACACTACCTTCACCACAAATCACTCACCAGCTAAACACCTTGGTATCATAGTCCACCGTCGTACAAAGCCGCATCAAACCGAGCTAACTCCTGAGACCAATCAGATTATTACTAATCATGCCAAAACACCACCCCCAGCAACCCAAAAGTTCATACACAAACTCGGAGAACCCAACCCAAGCACGTTATCATACCAACAACCCCTCTTCCCTCCCCTCCGCCGCCGTAACAACAATAAAAATGCCTCAGAGACCCTCCCTAATCATCCACGGCGGCGCTGGCTCGATCTCGCACTCCTCCCTCCCACCTTCCTCCCCACTCTACATTGCCTACAGAGCCTCCATTCGTGAGGCTATCCACGCCACATACCCGCTCCTCCTCGCTGGCCACTCGGCGCTAACCGCCGCGACGCATGCTGTAACCCTCCTAGAAGACGACCCGCTCTTCAATGCCGGTAAAGGCTCGGTGTTCACGCGCGACGGGAGGAACGAGCTCGAAGCTTCGGTTATGGTTTCCCGGGGGTATCGGAAGAGGGGGGTTGGTGTCGCCATGCTGACTACGGTCAAGAACCCGATTCTGCTGGCGAGGGAGTTGTTGGTTCGTGGAGAGGAGGACGGAGACGCGAGTGCGGGTGGTGGGCAGGGACATAATTTCCTTTCGGGAGCGGAGGCGGAGAAGTTGGCTATGGAGTGGGGTTGTGAGGTCGTTAGCCCGGGGTACTTTTGGACGGAGAGGCGGTGGGAGGAGCATCTACGTGGGTTGGAGAAAGAGAAGAGGTATTCCGCCAGCGATGGTGTCCCCGACGAGGACCTGGGAGGGGAAACGGCGGAATACCTATCCCAAGGCACCGTCGGCTGCGTCGCGATGGACATTCACGGAACCCTCTGCGTGGCTACGAGCACGGGCGGCCTTACCAACAAGCTCCCCGGCAGAATCGGCGACACACCGACTCTCGCCGCGGGGTTCTGGGCAGAGGAATGGCGAGTTCCTGCACCGTCACCCAGTACCCCCTCGCCGTCGATTTCAACCTCTCTCTGGGATTTATTAAGCGCCTGCATGCCCACCGCTGCTCCCACACCCGTAAGCGAAAAGCAACCGTTACTGGAAGGAAACGTCGATCATCCCACACAACCGTGCACCCGCGCGGTCGCGCTCTCGGGCACCGGAAACGGGGACTACTTTCTTCGCCTTGCGGTAGCACATAACATCGCCGCTCGCTGTCGCTTCGGCGGCCTCAGTTTGAAGGAGGCGGCAGAAGCAGTTGCCGGCCGGGGCGGGGAAATGCAGAGGGCCGCAGGGGAGCGGTGGGGATTGGGGGATGGGTCCGGAGGCGTGATCGGGTTGGACGAAAAGGGGAATGTGGTCATGGCCATGAATTGCGGGGGGATGTTTAGGGGTTACATTGATAAAGAGGGAAAGGCTAGGGTTGGGGTTTACTGGGACGAGGAGGAGACTTGAGTTATAGAAGGCCAACTCTCGGGTGCGGATTGCCGATCCCCACTTTTTTTTTCGGATGCTGGTCATCTTTGTGGGGTTTGGTAATGGGCACACGGTGGATTTAGCGTCGATGGTAGACGAGATCAGTCCGGTTTATATTTCTCCTGAAATTCGACACTATTGTAAGTATATCACATCATATCACTCGGCAGAAAACACCAAGAGGAGCAAAAGTTTTGCGAAAAGGCGAAGACTCCCAAACTCTACATAAACCTATTATCTATCATTCCGTGACCACTACTAACAGCACCGATTCAAACCGAGTTCCCAATCTTCCCCTCCTATTTCTTTCCCCCCCCCCCCCACAATACTTGCCACTAAGTCCCTCACGATACAATAACCAACGCCTGACTCGCTCCCTCAGACCCCGAAAACTCCCATAACCACTTCCACCCAGTCATGGCCCCCCAAACGGCCCAATCATACACAACATCCCATATCTCATCCCAGGCCGGTCCATGATACACCAAAAACCAGCCCATAACGCCAAGAACAACAAACCTGGTTGTGAACATTCTGAACAGCATAAACACAACCACTAACATTACCTTTAGGGGCAGCCTGAATGCGTAGTCGAGGGCCAAACGGCCCAGCCGTAATGAGACGTTCAGAGCAAAGTGCGCTACGCCGGGTGCCAGGGCGCAGAGCAGGCGAAGGGGTGTTCTCAGACCAAAGAGCATATTGACCATCGTCTGCCAGAGTTTGATCAAGGCGCCTTTCAGCGTCCAGATGATTGACCGTCCGGTTTGCCTCGTAACGAACTTCGCAGCTTGGAGGAAGCACCGGCGGTGGTTCCAGGCGTAGAAGACAGCCATTGTGGCACCAACGAGGAGTATCGCGCTCAGCCGGAGGTGTTCCCAGGAACCCTTCCGTATCTCATCCGAGTCTTCGACGCCATCGCTCTCGATCCTGATACGACCGTGGATCTTTTGGAGCGTTCTCGTTCTACTTTGCAAATAGCCGAGTTTTTCCTCTAGCTCCGCGGTGATTGCTTCCTCCTCGCTTGTGATTGTATCTTGTTCATAATCCTGCTTGAACTGTTCCAGGATCCCCTCCAAAAGAGCAACTACATCTGCCCTGCTATGGCGATACCACGATGGTGAGTCCGGAGGTCTGATGCTGCGGATCGTGGCGACGCGATTTTCCGCCAGGGTTTTCCGCCTGCTGAGAAGCGTCTCAAATTGACTGGTCATCAACTGCATGGACCCGGCCCTTGGTGATAGCAGACTGAATAAGTGTTGGGCTTCCTCGTACGCTTCTGTTGCCTTGTGGAGCTGTGATGTCCTCCCCTCAATTGCTTTTAGACGGCGCTCTAGTTCTTCTATTTTCCGTTCGGAGTACATTATCTTTCCCTGGATACTTTGTTTATCCTTTTCCCTACGGCTGCACCCTCTTTTAGTAGCCCTCCGTTGAATTTACCACGAGAGTAGGCAAATCTATCATACTCACAATATCTTTTTCCACGAGGTCAAAAAATAAGTGACAACGCTAATGCTGGCAAAAAACCCAAATGTGAAGACACCGGGAATGGTGTAAGTGAATGCTAAACCCAAGACCATCGCTCTTGCACCATCTCCCAGGGTCTTAGTGCGATCAGCTTCAACCCACATCCCATTGCCCGATACAGTAGCTCACCTTCAAAACTCCTCCGCGCTGGTCAGGCTCCTCCGATATCTCATCTTCTAAATCCTCTCTTCCCCGCAACTCCGCGTGTAGCCTACCCTCCAAATATTTGCCCTTGAGTTTTACGTTCGCTTCCTCCTCAGCGCACAGCTTAGCCACATCCTGCAACTCTCGCCCAATATTCGAGATCTCCCCTTGAAGTTCCAACACATTCTTATTGCAGAGCCTGCCGGTTGCAACTGCCATATTTTTCCCGCATTTGAATGCCAAATCTGTCGTCTCCGAAGCCGATTCAAAAGAAGCGGTTGTTCTCTCGAGTGCTTCGTAAAACCCACCTCGCTTTCCCGAAATAAGCCTCTCTAAGGACTTCACTCCACCAACCCACAGCATCACGGCTCTAGTGGTATCCCACATGTCCTGTCTGCGGATCAGACAATCGTCGATATAGTTGACATGCGCAATAAGCGGGAATAACGCTTTCACCATGTCCGTATTTGCCAGTCTAACCTCTGCGAGGGCGGCCTCTATTACCCCACTATCTTCGAACGATAGGGCGTCCAGGCCGCGGAGCTCGCGACTGACCCGTTGCATTAAGCATACTAGTTTCTCGTCGAAGGGGGGTTGCCGTGAGAGGGGAATCATAGCGATAGCTGGAGTTTCGCAGCGAGGATCCATCAAGTGCAAGGGAAGATGATATTATATGAGTTGGTCTGAAATTAGGCCAGAAACAAGGCCCCTTTTATTTCACATGTTCTTGGCGGGGCGGAAAGAATCGTCAAAATCTTAGGCCTGGCTCCTAATTTTTAACCATTGCCGGCCTAAGATTCGCACCGGACCAGTATTAAGGCCAACCACCACTACCGGTATTCTCACCCCCATCCAGAGGATTCCTTAAGCCCGTGTTTCTTTCAGTAATAAAAACAAATAAAAGATGACCGACTCCTATATCGTTGAAGTCAGAGTTTTTCATTCCTTACATTTCTTAAATTTCTCAACAAGAAAAAAAGTATAGCTCCAGGCAGAAATTAGGTTCGAGGATGTCTTACCGTACAAGGAACCAACTATCAAAGTAATCTTCAAGCCCCAGAAATCTACCGGTGGTCATACCGATTCCCTACAGCACCCCTGCAAAAAACCTGAGCCTGGTTTATCCCGCCGCTCAACCGAGAGGTTTCGGTCAGAGATGGTAATGTGCTCGGATGTAATGGAAAATTAAACGGGAGAAGGATCTCCATACCCCGGGGGAATGCCAACGGTTTATATAAGAAGTGTTTCTATCCAACGCCCAGCCGCCCCATCCACGGCCCACTATACTAGTACCGCACACGAATTCGTTATTCTCGCGCTCCACAATCTATGGATGAACCACTCATAAACATCAAGTTCCCCTTCCGTCTTCTTTACTCTTCGGATTCGCTACAGTGTTTCAATTTCCCTTGCTCTTAGCTCATATCCTCTCTCCGCAACTTATCCTGTTCCCCCCTCCTCCCCGAACCAACAGTGAAAGCCACCACCACCCTTGATATGGCGTGTCATCATACCTATAAAACCATTCAAGTTCACCAACCTTCTTCTCCCGATTACCCCAAAAACTAGGCACCGGTCTCCGCCAGCCCCGCAATCTCAGGATTCAGAGACAAAAACTCAGAAGCAAGAATAATGATTTCCCGAAACGGTACCAGGTCAGTCTGCTAGATATGTTATCTCCCATTAGTCAGTATTCGCAGTCCCGTTAACCAGGCAAAAACAAAACAGAACATATCTTGGGCCGAGGGGCTGGTTTCGAGTAATGATATGATAGTAGATTCCCAGAGTTTCGACAGTATCAAACAATGTTCATTCGCTGGTATCTCATTTTACTTTTTCGGATCTTCCCTATTCCCCAGGATACTTCCCGCGTCAATTACACCCGACAAACTGTAGCCATTCTGAAAGGCGGCCCTAGGGAGCCGGATATACTACCAGAATACCAGAGCACGATGCGCGTTGACAGGTACTTGCAGATTTTGCCGTTTTACTCCTGACTTAGGCCCCGGGCCGAAGGCGTATCGCAAGCGATGACTAAGCGAAGTGGTGGCCTTGTCATTTGTCAATGAGCAACGCCTCCACTCTTTGGACCTTTTTTTTTTGTCCAAAACCTTGTACCTAGTCGTTTGATCAACCTGGGCTTCATATATCACTCCGTGGTTTCCAGGGCACCAGAGTTTCTGGGAGAAACCTACCAACCAATATGATACCTAATGCTAGAAATATGCGAAAGTGGATGACATTCCATGATCACTCATATCCCCAGCCAGGAAATGGAGCCAACTTGGCCGAACCACACAATCCACTCAGCGGATGGCATCTCAAAAGATAAGTTATGCCAGGACCTGAATCCAGGACTCTCGCTTCCCCATTTAACCGCTAAAGATTTATTTTTTCCGAAATGGAGAGTTGAGGTGCTTCACCAAGTTTCCTAAGATACCACTCGCGTACTGGAAGGCCACCGCTAGAACCTCTGGCACTCCCTCCCCACGATCCGCTCTCGCTCAGGAACATCGTCGGTCACCCCACTCCCGACTGTCGGGCTGCAGGCAGGGAAGGTCCATAGCCGGGATACCCTGCCATTCACGGTAAGGCACTTGGCTCATGAGTCACCAATTGCTCGACAAGAGTTGCCCGCCCCAGAATTCGTACCGTACACGTCGTCAGCATCTTGACAAGCCATCAACTCTTCCTCGACATGTCTCTCTCCTCAAGGGCTCAGAGCTGCCGTTGCCTCTTGGCAGAATTCTCCTGACACCCAACTGTTATTGTTACAAAGATCTGGTCCGTCCCCGAATTCTTTACACTGCATAACCGGCCCTCCCGTTCCGCAGAGATGAATCTAAAAAGCGGAAGGTGAAATGGTGTCCATCCCGGGGAGGCCTTGCAGCTGGCACGGTGGGAGGGGAGTAGCGCAATCTGCCGGTATCATACCTGCTTGGCGTTGTCATCAGTGCTGGTACGGTACAAAATTCGAAGCTCAAACTGACAATTGGTGCCGACATGGGGAAACATGGGTAGGCTCCTGACGGTCACTCCACGATCTTGAACTGTGCTGTACAGGACTTCCAAAAAAAAAACGGGCCGGGAGGTTATATGTAGGGCTTTGCTAGTGGTTAGCCACTTTCTAAGTGACTTCCCCTCGCAGTTCGGTATCTTAGCATACGGGTATCGTAATGTAGGTTATTCATTATTAATAGGGATAGGTCAGCACCGGCGATTGGGTGTCAAGTCAGGGGGTGATGAGTTGCAAACGGTAACTACCGTACTCTGCCAGTCCACGGTATGATACTCGTATCATAAGTTATCCGTAATGGTCCACAGGTAGATTTGTCTGACGGAGCACCTTCCACAAAGATTCCTCCATTCGAGTGCTCCAGTTCGCTAACGTAATAACTTGGAACTCGCCTCCCTTCCACAGCATACTGGCCTAGGTATTCAGCATACTCTGCTGTGGTGCATTACCAAGCACGACCGCCTCAGACAATTTATTCCCTGTCGCCGGTGTTCGGACGCTACTCGAATCTCTGGCGTGGCTCTTCCCAGCTCAGCGCGTTATCGCGTGGGGGCAGGGCGTAAATTCACGCGTAGTCACTCGCTAGCTTACAGCATGATACTCTGGGTTCAGCAGCACCGGGTCCAACGAGGTACCCTGCCTGGCATTGGAATCCGGATTTATCGTGGATGTTCAGAGATAGCCAGCCATGCAAATTTTTAATCCTCGTGTTTGAGCACCTCATGCCTGCAACCTCCCGTGCCCCAAGCCTAATGGGACCATTCCAATGACTACTTGTAGGTTTGACCCTACTCGTACAGTGTCAAGGATTCTTCTCCCTGCTTGCCAGCGGGGACCTTCCCCCCCTGTCGGGTTTGTTGTCGTCGAACAAGGGTTAGGGTTTAAACGGGTGTTTGTTCGTCCCTTGGAGTTAAAGCTATTTTGTTTGGAATCCGTTTCCGCTAAGTCAAGAGCGGCGTCATGGTTCCGTCACATTTACCGGCATTTCCATCTTTTCTTTTGGCGCTCGCTAAAGTGGTGATATTTGGGGTACAGATATGGGAACGGTACGGTACAGTACAGGTGTATGTGTGAGGTTTTGTTTTATTGGTCTCATACCTGTGCCAACAGCAATTCTTGCCTCTATCCCCACTTTTTTTTTTTTTCATTTCCTTGGGTCGTCTTATCATGTCCTTATGTTTGCACTTCATTGCATGAAGGATTTGGGTCGGCCTCTGAGAGGGTGCAGCTTCACTGCATGCTGGACGACAAACTCGCGAGAATGTTAACTCGTCCTCGCTCCGAACGGTCTTCGAGTGGCCCGATTTCGTCCATGACGCACAGTACAGATGTGCAGAGGGAATGGAGAAAAGTGAGAGTGAGCTCATGACCAAAAGCTCTCGATCACCTCTTTTCTCACCCTAACGTACGGCAGCTTACCGGCGTTAATTCCTGCATCAGGTTGGGTGATTGAGGGAATTGGAAATTTTATTAATCACGCTAACAAATAGATCTCACATCTCAGACTCGGGGAAAAAGGGGAGACTGGCCAGCGACGCCTCCACCGCCACAGGTTGGGGCGGCTGGACATTCCCACAAATAACAAGCGACGCGCTCCACATGAGTGCTCGAGCACCGAGGGCACCAAACGGCTGCCGTCGTATCGAGCCAATCAACCACCGCCAGCAAAACCCTCAAGAGGCATGCAGCTCAGACCGCCAGACAAGGGCAGTGTGAAGGTTCGCCCAAAACTGCAGTGCAGGAAACTACGGGGGGCAACAGTATGTGGTGCTGTTCACGCCCGCCCCGCCCGTGTAGCCATCTCGCACCCAGCTTCTATGGATACAAAAGAGGTTCTTGTTCCCGCCACTTTATCCTGCCTGTTCTCACTTTCCATCCCTCGCTCTGTCTACATTTTATAAACACCACCGTAACGATCCGGATCGTTCATTGCCATCGTCAGTTCTGTTGACCAGAAATACACGTATACATCGAGCGAAGAATCCATTGTTTTAGTCCCTCTTTATCGGTAACAATCAGCGACAGAGTCCCATAATCCTGGTTTGGATTGAACATTTGTGAAACCACAGAGAATCTTCCCTCATCTCGTGATATCGAAATTATGGCGGTGGAGGGATTGAATATGGCGCTTCAGGTTGCCTCTCATGTTCCTGCTCTCTCTTCTTCCATCACGGTGATGGATGCCAGTGGGAACCTGGTTAATACGGTGAATACAGTATGTTTGTGTTGAGATTCACCCTTCGTGCACCATCTGTCATTCGTTGTCTGCTTAACCTCCCGGTCAAAACAATGTATTTTCTTTTCTTTTTCGTGTGCTATCTATTTCTCGCTGCGCTTTCCCTTCTATCGTCACGTGGCTAACAATTAAGCAGTCCAGGAATATTTTCTCAGCGTTCAAGGAGGCTCGCCAGGCCTACCGCACCCGCAAAGCTGAAATAACCGAGGAGCGTGCTCGCCAGAGCGCCCGCCGCGACGAGGCCCGACTGCGTGCCGCGCGAAAGCATAGCACATCGACAGCTCGCCGGTTAGAACGATCCAATACCGGCACGCTAATGATCGAAGATGACGAGGAACGGCGCCAGCGAAAGAAGGAGAAGAAGGAGAAAAAGAAGAGATCTGCGTCTTCGTCGTCCTCGGGCACCGGCTCGGACATTAGCTTCGAAGACGACTCTGGGAGTGCTGTCCTCACCACCACGGGTAATAATAATAGCGTGAGGAGGTCGACCAGCAGCGAGACCATGCGGACCGAAGCGACCTTGTATACCCCGGGGGGTTTGCGCGGAAACATGTCGGTCATTTCATTAATCCCCGAAATGGTTCTCTCCCAACCGGACCCCATGACGGAGAATCTTCAACTCCTCCTCCTGCAGCTGCAGTCTACAATCGACGAGTTATCGTGTTGGTCAGCGGGCATCGCGACGCTCATTGCCGAGCTGCAGAAGGTTCCTGATACCCTCGCAGTTGTCGGCCTAACCCTCGCCGAAGTGTCCGCTCTTGTAGCGAAGGTCAGCCCTGCAGCAATCATGGGCTTGAAGACCCTGTTCCCCATGATCTTTGCCTTACTGGGCAGCCCACAGTTTGTCGTCCTTGCGGGCGTCGGGGCAGCTGCTACGGTGGTTGTATTGGGCGGATACAAGATTATCAAGAACGTCGTCGGCGGAGCGGCAGCGAAAGCGTTGCTATCGGGCGGCGGCGAGGAGGAGTATCCAGAGGGTGATTGGGACGAGCCCGTCGAGGAGATTGTCCGCGAACCTCCCCAACGGCAGCGCATGATTGAGGCTGCCCCCGTATCGCTTCCTCGACCCGAAGCTAGACGCGCGCAGTCTGAGGTTCCCACCCAGCGCGGAGAACTCGTGCTTGCCCGCTCTCACACGTCCCAGGCCCCCGCGGGCGGAGGCGAAGTGCTAGCCTTCAATGTCTCAAGCACCGCGAGCGGCAGTAGCAGTGGCAGCAGTAGTAACAACAGCAGCAACAACAACAGTGCCGATGAGGAGGATAGAAAGCGACATCATAGAAAGCGCCGCGGTAGCAACGACAAGTCAGACAAGGACAAGTCTGAAAGGTCAAAATCGAAATCCGGCAGTAGGTCCCACCACAGCAAGCCAAAATCCGACAAGGAAAAGGACAAATCGGAAAAAGACAAGTCATCTTCCAAATCGGACAAGCACGAATCCTCCGAGCCGTCCAGCAGGCGCGGGTCATCCTCGAAATCCCACGACAAGCACGAAAAGTCGGATAAAAAGGAGCGCAAGACATCCGTCGATAATGGTGCCACCATTCCCACCAAGGAGAAGAAGACGTTCTTTTCGCTGACCACCTCTCCGTTCTCGTCCCCGGCTGCATCTACGACTTCGCTGCTCACTGAGAAGCAAAAGAAAAAGGAAAGGAAGTCTTCGCTCTCATCTGCCTCTTCCCCCCCTTCCGGTTCTAAGGAGAAGGAGAAGGAGAAGACATCCCCCACAAAAGACCACAAAGAGACCAAGAAGCCGAAGGAATTTTTGTCGGGTCTTTTCGAAGGGCGGTCGGCTTGATCCGTCTAATGTTTTCATATGAAGTTTTATTTTGTCTTTTCTTACTTTTTACGGATGGTAGATAACGAATTTGGAAATATGTACGTTTGCATGACGGGGTGTCGTCGCGATATCGATAGTATATAACATAACGGAAGGCGTTTTTTCTTTCTTCACTTCTTCTCTTCTTCTCACTTATCTTGTTCATCATTGTGTTTTTTATACCATATCATTTATACATTCTCCATCTTTTTTTTCCTCATGATATTTTCTCTCTTTCGCGTTCCCAAATATCAGGATGAGGCCTTTTTTTCTTCTTTTCTGCCCTCCATTTCTCCACCTCGCCTTGCCTTCCCTTTCCACTTCCCTTGTCTTCCGCCACCGTAATCAAATACCCGAATAGAATCCACAACCCGCACACCAATTCCACGGAAAAAGCGGGGCGAAATTTTTCTTCTTTTCTTCGTCTCCACTTTTCTGTAAGATTGTACGAATATAGCCCAATCCGATCCATCGCCTCAATCAATCAATCAATCAATCAATCAATCAATCAATCGTAGAGTACTGTACCCACTCGTAACCGTACCGTACAGTCCAGTATGCAACAGTACGGTATCATTCGCTCCACCGCTCAGGTCGGGTTTTTAACCCGTTCGCTCGCTAGTTCGTTCTCGTTCTTTCTTGATTTCTTTTCCTTCCCTTCCTTTGTTAGCGTGGTCTGGTCGGTCTTGCGTGTTGTGTTTTTTCGCCATTGGATGTTTGGGCTTGGGATGGATTGGTTGGGATCTCTTTTTCTTTTCTTTTGTGCCGTGGTGGGCGAGTGAGGGGCTGTGATGTGATTTTATCGTTTGTTGTGTGTGAGTGATTGGGTGGGTGGATTTCTGGAGTGGGAGTGGGAGTGGGGTGTGTGTGGCGGTGGTAGTCGTAGGCTTTGGTTTGTCGAGTTGGGTTTTTTTTGGGGGGGTGAGGATTGACTGGCTGTTCAGAGTGGGGAGGATGCTGGATGGAAGGATGGTCTACCGTATGATAATTTACCTACCGGAGTGCAGGGCAATAACTGGCATACCGGACGAGTAGGCCTTGCTATGTTTATTCGCGGTGTTATAGATAAGATGTTATTACCGTATTCCTGTATAATACCCACCCTGTGAAAATCGTGAATGCTCGGTTCTCCTTTTCCTCCCCTTATCGGTGCTATCCGCTTCCGGAGTACGAGTATTGTACCGTACGAGTACGAGTACAGTACATCACTAGTACTGTACTCGTACGCTACAGCACAGCAAAGTACTGTACAGTACAAGTACCGTGAACAGCAATCCCACTACCACATTGCTTTTTTTTTTCTTTTCCTTTCAACAGCGGCAGGTTCACCAGTCCAGTGATAACGAGGAAGAAAGTCCCCAGATGACGTCCCGCATACGGCAATGCCGTTATAATTATTCCCGACGCATATCACGAAAACACTATCGCGCGCCGGTACTCCAACCGTAATAATGCCCGAGCACAAGGCACAGCTCATTATGGGTCAGGGTTAGGGTACGAGGTCGGTCGGGGGTAGGGAATTTTTGAGGCGGGTTATCACAATGCGAGGGAGGGGGGTTGCCTTGGCGAATGGAAATTCGGACGTTGGGTGGAGGGGATGGGTTGGTGTCGTGTTTTTTTGTGTGATCTTCGGTTTGTGGGATACCGGTATGTTACATGTGTATTTTTTATTTTTTTTTGCTTTCGGGGCGGGGGGATACAGTAGAAGTGAACTGGCGCGCTTTATCTCTTCTCTTTTTTATTTGGTCCCGTACAGTACTCAAAAAGTACCGGCAGTCCAGGGTAAGGTGTGTGTGGGTAACAGGATAGTACGAGCACTGTGGAAGCTCTTCGATCAAATATTCCTATGTTCACCTAACCCGGCTCCGGTTCTTCGGATTTGCGTCTGTGTAACGTGGAAGATGCACCGCGCCGAAAGGTTCCGTTTGCGTTAGCTTTAGATAGAATGAGGGAAAGAAGACTGTCGGACTCTCATCTCTCTGGCTAGAATGGAACCCCTTCTCTGAGTGAGTGGTCGGTAGGCACATTGAGCCAATGAGGGCATGGAGGTCTGATGAAGCCTAGTGGTAAGGCGGGAGGGAGGGACGGGGCGGAATTTGGCAAAATCGTGGTAATGGAAGTGAGGGGGAGGACTTATAGTTGGCTGGTTGGCATCCGCAAGGAATATCAGGCCGCTGGACACCATGATACATAATAATATTATTATAAATTATTTATTTAATCCCTGTGTTCGGGTATCATACCTATTGCCTACTTGCTTACGGCGGTGTTTTGGGAGGGTTCTAACTTACTGTTGGGCTGGGATACACTGCCGTTGGGAGGACAAGGCTTGTGTCTGCTTTAATGGTTCTCTGTGCCCATAATTCGATTTCTATGATATTCTATTGGACTGTACTCGAGTAGCTGAGCACTGCAGCGGGGATAAGGGTTGTCTTGTCTTGGCTTTACCACTGTTGCTCCAATTTTGTCTGTTTCGTTTGCCCGCGCAGTTTTTGTTACCGTATGATACTGCAGTTATAAGCACAGTCCCGTCCAGCGGTCATTACTCGAGTAGAAGCTATGACCGCCCAAGTAATGACCAATCTTGGCCTCTCTTCTCACGCCTGAACTTCGCAGCTGCGGTGGGGTCCGCAAAACCAGTTCACCCAAGGCAAGGCCGCCGAAAATCAATAGCAATTTTCCGCACCAAGATAGTCTACTATCGCTCTTGAGGGGATGCTCAGTTCCCCACTGTGAAAAATAACCCTCAGCGTGCGGCCCCCGGACATAATTCATGGTTGGTCGCCCACAGTGCCCCGTCGCAACAGAGTACAGTAAGCCCAAGCAAAAATGGGGAAGAAAAAAATGAACATGAGGGAAACCTCGCGTCCGCTGCGTCTAGCCTTGTGGATTCCCGCGGGATGCATCTTCAAGGAGCCGAGGATTTTATGGTCTATATTTTGCTCTTAAATTTTACACTATTGATGGACACGGGAGTCCTCCTGCAATGGGGCTCATTGAAGGAGCGATTGATTTTTCATTCGAGCGCCTAGACTTTGGATAGTAGCGTGGATACTTGAAAAGGAAAAAAGGTGTTGTGTGGCCAAGGCCAACCAGACACAAACACAAAAGCGGATATGATATCTACACACAAACCTCGAGGAATGGCCAAACTATCGGACGATACTGTACCGTCTATTTTTTTGAAAATTCCTCCATGTCGGGCCAGTAGGCATACAATGCGCTGCTTTTTGATCTCGAAGTTGTGGCTGTATTGTTGGCTAGCCTCATGACTGCTTCACTTGTTGCCTAATCTAGCTCGGCCGCTATTAACAGCGATGACCGGTGAGGTACAGTACAGTACAGTAGGCTTTCGATTCTCTCCAGTATTAAATTTTCCTCGGGAGATCACTGGTTAGTAGTCCTGGGGCTTTACCTCCCGGAGCTGTACAATTCCAAGAGAGTATACATGTGTTTGCCTGGATCTACAGACTCTTCGAATGGAATTGTGGACCACATCCCAGGTTTCGGGTTGTTTACGTGCATTGCTGCTCGGCATAGCTTTGAGCAATGGGTGCGGGGTCGGGGACGTGCGATATCTCTACAGCTATGACATTTGCCGTACGGTACATGTCCCGGGTTTGTACTTGCGCATTCCAAAAGTATCCGGATGTCTTGGCACGGGCTTCGGCTGGGGAGGGGGAATCCTTTAACCAGCATGTTTCGCACCAAAAGAATTTGTAAAATCAAAGATAGCTAAGGTTCCTGAACAATTTAACCGTAGTTTCTCTGTATACTACAATAGGGAATAGGCTGGAGGTTCAGAAAATTGAAAAATAATTCCAAAGTATTAACCTCTAGGCGAGCTATAAGGGTTTAAAGTGCCATAACGGGCTCCGGTTTAAGGTTTCTCACAACGACCGAAACTGCGCCAAGGTGTCCGGATGCTTTTGGGATGCGCAGGTACAGATGGTGAGGCGGTGGGGAACACCCCATCCAAGACAAAATGGCCTTTTGTACGGTGTGTACGGCGGGGTGTCTCCTAGGTGTTCTTTGTTGCTGTTCAATAGGGTTAGGGTTACTCCAGAGTATGGTTTGTGACTTGGGCGAGTATTCTAAGGCCGTACGGGAGGGAGGGAGTGAGCTTGTGGCTGAGCGGGGATTTTGACGGGGGGGTGCTTCCATCTCTTTTGCAGGGATCGTGTGTGATTGGTTGGTGCCATGAAATCTTCGGGATTGTGAGTCTAGAGCGGGGGTTTCTGATTGAACTCATGAATGTGGTGAGGTCTTGGGAATTGTAGATGGTCGGGAAAGGGGAAAGAGGAGATGAAGCACAAACGGGAATTGAGAGGACAGAGCAGGGTTTGGCCGCTGAAATAAACTAGATATACTGGTGATTTAGCATTATAATTGAACCCCACCCGCGCACCCCATCCGGGCTGATATTTGGGAGAGAAGGAAGCTTGAAGGTTGTGCAAGAAAAGATCATGCTAAAAAATCAATAGCAAAAGTGTGTTCAACCCTTTTGTTCGAGCGTACAATCCTGAAAGGATAAATGGCTGTAACTCTGGGTCATTCTCTTAGTACAAAAGCTGAGGATTCCCCTGCTCCAGTAGTAGAGAGCATTCGGAATAGGATCAGAGGGAGAAATTATGATAGGTTGGAAGAGGAAAGCTTGAAGGGTGGTATGGCGAGAACGGTCCACCCGGAGATTAGGTTTCGGATGTGGGTTCCCTGTCACAGTACAAGGTCTGTACAAATCGTGGTGGGCGTGCTTGAGCACAGGTGCACTCACCCAAAAACTGGGAAGCGAGGGACTAAAGATAACTGTCAGCTATTGCCCGAAGCATCAGCCTTAAGGAAACAACGGGAACAGCGGGTGTCCATCAGGATTCAGGGAACGTAGACCGAGGGGGTATCTGTACAACTTCAGGTCGTAGTCATACTGTACTTGTGATACCTGATCAGGGGTATCGCCTGAGTATTGTCTTAGTGCACAGCTCCAAGTACTGGTGTGGGATGGGTTCCTGAGAACTGTTGTAGATATACTGGCAGCCACCATAAACTTGGCCGAATAGAGTGAAATGTCTAATCCTGCATGTTTGTGATTGAGAAAAGGCATACTGATATGGCTAATAGCTCGGGTCTAAACAGTTTTAAAGAACCATATAATCCCTTTAATCAATTCTCTGTTAGCATTCTTCTAGCCTATATTCACCTTTTTTTTTTGGCTAAATATACGGACCAAATGCTTCGCTCTATCAGCCTCGGTAGAGAACCAAGCACCCTGTTCATCTGAACATACTGTACTGGTGCGCCGTAACAGCCTGTACGAATACTATTCATCCCATTCGATACCCAACTCGGAAGGAAATGATGTCACATAGTCCAATAATCCCTGCGCCCCGCCAAGATGGGCCCTGCATTGAGCCCGTGCACAGGTCCCGGACCCCAACACAAACACAGAACGAGGAAACATCATATCAAAACATCCATCTTGCCCAATTCCCTAGCAAACTCGAGATATTTTGTATACACCTTCAATTCGCACCAACCATTTGACAAACAATGGTTGGGTGGGAAGATAGGGGGAGGCTGGGAGGTGTATTTACTCTCCGGCTGTCCTCTCTCCCTCCTCACCTTCTTCACCCCGGCTCCACGATATCAAAGAGCGGAAAACCTTTGTCCTAAATATCAATTTCTACCCCATGTTCTCGAGTCCGACCTAAACTTCCGGTGCGTCCCCTTTCCGTCTATCTAATCCCATAATTGCTTTACACCTCTTTGGGACCCTGCTAACAAAATCACTACCCTTCTTACCATTGTTTCAGAGCAAAAATGGCGGACATAATGGACCTTGTATCCGCCTCCGGCTACAAGTATGAAGCCCAATCCCCGCCATACCAAGAGCTCCACCCACAGCTCGGCGGGTTCCACCCAGGGGATCCAACAACTCCTACGCCGCCTACGCGCAACAGTAGTTTCCCCCCGGAATCCTCCACGATGGCAGAAGCTCGTGCAAGGAGTTACCAGAACAGCAATAATAATAGCGACCTCCAACACAGTAATAGTAATGCCCAACACAACAATGTCGAGAATCAACCAGAAGGTAGGGAATATTATTTCGGCTCCACCAGCCTTCATGATGACTTTTGTTGTTTTCTCGATTTTGAACGTTCGACTGACCAGTTGGTGGAAAAGAAGAGTCCCAGCCGCCCTCACGGGCGCGGACCGCGAATGAAACATTCGAGGCGGATGATTGCGCCGTGCAACTCGTACCTCTGTCGGATGAGCCCGTGCCTATTGCGAATGGGGAACAAGAGGGGGGGGGTGGGAGGGGTAATAGTGGTGCTGGTGCCTTGGTGGTCCAGATAGAGACAGAGCCGGTGATCATTGAATCTGGATCGGAGGGTAGGGACGGTATTGACACTGTTCGGGAGAAAATCAGACTTGAAGAGGGAGAGGGGGGGTTAAATGTTTTGGGGGGCGGGATGAGGGAGATGGTGGATTTGGTCAATAGACTTAGAGCTTCCGGGATCGAAGATCTGGGGCTGCCGTTGCCTAGAATCGCGGTTGTAGGCAATCAGAGTGCCGGGAAGAGCAGTTTGATTGAAGCTATTAGTGGAGTAAGCTCTTGTACCCCGTGGGCCATAGTATATCGCTTGAGTACCGGGCTAAAAATTGGGTGATTAATTAATAGATTAAAGTCCCCCGATACACAGGAACATGCACTAGGGTAGGTGGCTCGTTCTTCCTGATTGGGAAAGGAAGAGAATTTTATTGACAAATCTCGCAGTGCCCTCTAGAAATCAATCTCCGCGAATCGTCGCTCACTACCGATCCCTGGCACTGCCGCATCTCCCTCCGCTTCAAAAAACGATATGATCCCTCCCTAACCTCCTCCAGCCACCATCATTTGAGTATGAGCCGCACCCGCGGAAACCCGTGGGTCGATCAAGCAACTGAACAAGTCCATTTCCTGGACATAACCAATAAAAGCCAGGTCGAGCCAGCTCTCGTCCGCGCACAACGAGCAATTTTAACCCCGGGTCAGAATTGGCGTGACTTTGTTCATGGGGAGGAGGGGAGGCCTACAGAAGGTATCGCTCCTGAAACGGGTAATGCAAGAAGTAGTAGCTGGTTTGGTCATTCACAGAGAGCGGGTGGGGCGGGGTGGGGAAGTTCCGCCGATCTTAAGGGGAAAGGCCAAGCCGTAGAAAAAAGAGGTGGCAGAGAGGAAGATTTTGAGGTGAAATTCAGTCCAAATGTGGTTTGTATGGAGGTTTGTATCACCAACCTCTGGCCCCCGGGAAGCTTGACACCAGACAGTGGAAGTGGCGCGAAAGCTTATCGTTGTAGATTACGGGGCCCGAGTTACCGAATTTGGCTTTCATTGATTTGCCGGGGGTTATCCAGACAACTGAGTCTGTGAGTTGTGTTTTTCAGTTTTACCTACGATCAGTGCTAAATGGGGATATAGGAGAGCGAACATTACCTTATTGAACTTGTGACAGGATTGGTGAAGGAGTATGTTCAGGAGGAAGATTGCCTGATCATGCTTGCCATGACGATGAAGGGTTTGATCGGGCATCCTATTGACCCTGCATTGCACTTTGCTAATACCTTCAGATGATGCCGTGAACCAATCGGCTGCACGCCTTGCTAGAGAGCTTGGGGAGGAGCGCACTATCGGTAGCTCTTTTTCCTTATGGTTTGTTTGACCGATCTGATCTAACATTACTTTCAGGCGCTCTAACTAAACCCGACACCGTGGGGCCCGGGGAGTACGGGCAATGGATCAACATCCTCCGCGGTCATTCTCACCGCCTCAAGCATGGCTACTTTGTGACAAAACAGCCGAACCAAGAACAGCTCGTCCAGGGGATCACACATGCACAAGCGAGGGAGCAGGAAGCGGCTTTCTTTGCCAGTACCGAGCCATGGAAAACGGAGCTGACTGATTTGAAAGAGAGATTCGGAACAATGGCTCTCCAGAGCTACCTGTCCAAAGAGCTTGGGGAATTGATCAAGAAACGGTAACTTCAGTTCAGATTTCGGATATTCTGATACTAATTTCATAGACTACCGGAGATAATCGAGTCCATCAGAGGACAAGCATCAGAGGTCCAAGAAGAGCTCGCTGCTCTCCCCCCTCCCCCGACTGATAACCAAACCCTGATTGTGCACAATCTGGTAACCCAATTCGATACCTTCGTCGGCGGTCACCTCCTCGGCGGTCCTGGCCAGAACGAATTCCAGCAGGAACTCCGCCGCCTGGCAGAAGACTTTCAACGTCGTCTGAAAGCACTCCGTCCAACACCGGTATTGGTCCAGACAATAGAGCAGGAGAACGAAATCGCAGCGCAATTAGAAACTCCCAGGAAAGGTGAAGCAGGTACGCGTGCACACCGCTGGGACCGTGATGGCTCGCCAACACTCGCAGCAGCGGGAAGGCGAGGAAGAAAGGGGGGAGGAGCCGGGGTAGAGGTTTGTACAGTATCCAGTGACACCGAGGGAGCGACCGGGACGGGGGGGGCAAGTTCCTCACCGTTCGGGTCCAAGAAGAGAAGAAACGGGACTGATCCAGGGAATTCCATGCCGGCAAAGAAGTCCAAGCGAGCCTCCGGAACAGCGGCGGCGAACAACACCGCGATAGAACAAAGCAAGTCCTTCCCCATCGTGACCACAACCGCGGCCTCCTCCGGTCAAGCCCCGCTAATGCTCTCCCAAGCCCACAGACTCACACTCCCACAAATCAGACATATAATCGAGTCAACTGCTACCGCCCGCATACCCGGCCAGGTCGATCCCACGGCGATAACAAACTTGATTCGTCAATCCATAAACCTCTGGAGCCCTGTGGTGCACGAATTCCTCAATAACTGCGGTGGGTTAATGAATAGGCAGGTGCACTACTGCTTCACCTTCATCTTCAAAGAATACCAAAAGTCACCGATTTTCCAAGGCGTGTATGATATACTTAACACCCTGGTCCAGGAAAATTTTGACCACCAAAAGACCCTTATTGAGCGGCTATGGCGCTTGGAAAGGGAGCAAATATCGACGCTGAACGAAGACTACCAAACGTTCATGGCAAACCACTACGAGAAGGTCTCAGACCGGCGGAAACGCAATTTGGAAGACCAGCGTAAACTAGCCGCAGCTAACGCGGCTGCGGAAGCAGCACAAAACGAAGACAACAACCCGGCCGGTGCTCCAGGCGGCGGTGGCGGCGGCTCCACCCCATCCCCGCGCAAAAGGCGAAACCCAACGGCAGCTCTCCCCACAGCAATGCTAGACAACTCCCCGGACCCGTACAGGAAGGAAATTGAAGTCCTGGCGCAAGTGAGGGCCTACAATGAAGTTGCGCAAAAACGTTTCGTGGATAACGTTTATATGAGCATACAGGGGGAATTAGTCAACGGCTTCCGCGGGAACGTTCTGGACGCGTTGCAGAATGGGTTGGGACTCAATGGGCCAGATGGTACTTCCTCACCTTTGCCGATTCTGACATTTGACTGACGAGTGGTGGGGTGAATGATGGATAGTATCCGAGCTATGCGCCCAACTCCTCGTTGAGGACCCCCTTAAGGAGCGTAGGAGGAAGGAATTACAGAGTAAGAGGGAGCAGTTGGATAGGGCCATGGAGGAGTTGAGTAGGCTTTGATTTGAGCTTAGCTCAGGAGGATGCGATTGGTGGGAAGAATATTTCTTTTTTTGTTTGTTTCAGTTTCCTCGCCCTTGCTGTCACGTTTTTGAAGAACTTGCCTGATGTATTTTTATTATACACACTTATCTCAATCTCCGTTCCATGCGGTTTAAATTCACGCGTCCATCAAGTAAGCCACGCTTGCTGGTTAAGTTGCTAGGGTGTGATATATGAATTATTGGCGTCAATGTGTCCACCAGAGCATGTCCACGAGCCCTTTGCTGCGCGGACCGAGTTACCTCATAACGACATAGCAGAAGGAAAAAAAAAAAAAAGTGAAAAAAGGAAGAGAGGACCCTTCCGATGTGTTTCGAAATAGCTGCGTACTCGGGGAGTCGAACCCCGTTCTCCCGCTTGGGAAGCGAAAATCATAACCGTTAGACCAAGTACGCCTGTTGTCTGATAGTGATTTCCAGAGCAGACCTTGTTTGCAAGGGTGGTATCATACTTACAGGAACCCTAACCCTGCGCTCATGGGTCCGAGTGTGGGGTGCAGGATGCGCACATCACACAGGTATGGGCCGCCGTCCGGCTGAATTTGGACGGGAAGGAGGGAAGGAAGCATACGGAGCAGGTTGAGCATTATGGATTCTCTCTTTTTTTTATTTTTTTATTTTTTCTCCTTCGAATTTGTTCTTGGACAGTGCGGTAGAATGCGGAAGCGTACTTACTCGTACAGGTACAGTACATGTTCGTACCGCGGATTGCCGACATGCCCCATGTTTGTTCCTTGCTCTGCAGACCACTTGAGCGACCGGAAGCCCTCGGGGGTTCATGCGTTGTCGCGCCTCTGCGCTGTGTGATGGTCTACGGGTGGGGACAGATGTCTGATGGGGAGCGGGAGCACGGCTGACTAGAGTATTAATACCGGTATCGAAAGGGTATGGTCTACATTGCTTTTTTTCTATACTAACTGCAAGAATTAATTCTAGCACCGGGATGGGGGATTCAAGGGTGGTCGTGGTGTTTTAACTCAATACTTTAGGTTGAAATAAAGTAGAGGCTCAGGTAAAACATCCAACACAGCCGGGAAGAGGGCCTAGTTTTGGCCATAAAAGGTTAGGCAGAGCCATATTATTGCGGAGAAAACTCTTATTTCGACGCGCGGTCACAAGCGCCAGGCGAATCTCGCTAGTTGATCTGTGTAGCGTAGTATGATACTCGCAGACGGGTCTTGGAGGGAGCAGGGGGGAGATGGTCTACAGGAAATGGGTTTCCACTGGAGCCACCATGTTCACGGCCTTCCAACCGTCGATACAATCGGGCGATCCGGACCGGATCTCTGTTTGTGTGTGAAGCAACTCGCCAGATTTTGCTTTCCGGCCCTTTGCAGCACTGCACCTATCCTGGCTGGGGAATCGTCCGGGGAGATACAGTCGGTACGCCGGTCTTCGCGTGTTTTCTGAAGGGTTTGTACGGGAAATCGGTCGCTTGCCACTTTTTTTAATATTCAACTCTTTCAATGCTAGCAACGCATGCTAGAGTAGCCAGCAGTTCTTCAGTAAAAATATTTGGGGGGGGGGTACCGCAGACTATTACCAATTTCTCCCAGCTTCAGGATGTATTGAACGGAGGTAGACTACAGTTCTGCTCGTCGTCTTTGCTGCACCTATCCGGTGTGGTGTACTTGACTACATTTAGGGGTTTTTTTTCCAATGCACAAAATGGAGGATGGACGAGCTGGCGGGAGGGGGTCAGTTCCGTGAAAAAATGTCTCCCACTTGTAATCAACTGGCTTTTCTCATGGGTGCCGGTACGAGTACTCTCATTTCCCTGCAATGGTCTCGGTCTTGAGATTTGGGAAGTTGTTTTTTTGTCCAGCGGAAATGCTGGTATGGTGAGTAGGGTGTTCGCGGTTTGTGCAACGTATTTTTCTGAATTCCTACAGGAAATCCAAAGTGGGGCTTTGGTTGGGTCATATCGGTGTCGGTTCGGGAGCGACTTGGTTATACAAGTAGACAAGGCTAGGAGATCCGTGGCAGAGCTGTGGAGTTGTTTGTTATGGGCTGGTCTTCTTGCTGTCCTTGTCCCATCACAGGCTGGTGGCTCAAGGTACGAGTAAGGGCGGGGGGCGTCTGTGCTTTCCAACTCTGAATTCTACTTGGCGGTATTTAGGAGGCTCTGGAGGGTCCGGGGTCAAGGCTCTACCGTTACATAACTTGGTGCGCATGCACTCTGGCGATTATGTAAGCAGAGCTCGTCTCAAAGACCCTGAGGTGAATGTAGCTGAGAAACTTCCTTAGTTCCTACTTGCATCCTTCCATCATTCTCCACTTGCCCTAAACACTCTAACCATCGCCCACACCATCACCGCTACGGGTAGGAACTCTTGAGGACCTTCCAACACCAGCTCGCGGCATTCCTATTGCCCCTCTTTCTCGTCCACCAACCAGCTATCCTCATACCCGCCCAATCAGACTCGACCTTTCACCTACGGTGGTGCATTTCGTTTGCTTTAAAGGGGGGAGAGCGCGATTTGGGTGCGGTCATGGCACAGGACAGGGGTCGGAGCTCGCTCTCCCACGAATATTCGGCCCTGCCCAGTCACGCTCCCGAGATAATATCCGCCAACACTGAATTCATAAGGTCGCACGACAAGATCGAAGCCTTGGTGACGGCGGAACGCGCGAGGAATTTCGAGGGGCTTGTGAGGCGGTACATCAAACAACTGCTCTACGGTTGCCAGCGAACGCATTGCGATACTCCGACTTGTTATACGGCGAGGAAGAAGTTGTCGCGTGACACCAACGCATCCAGGAAATTCAGTGTTTTGTCGGCGAGGATCATTGCTTGCCAGCTTGCCACCCAGGATGACCCCTATAAAGCCTTGTGTCCGGGCAAGCTGGTGACGCCGGTGCTGTCGAGTTCGGCTGAAGAGAAAAAGGATGGGCCGTCGAGGGATAGCTTTCGGGAGGAGGTGGCTGAGGATGGGGAGGATACGTCGAACAAGGAGAACAAGGAGGTGCCTGTTCGCCCGCCGAGGGAAGCTCTGAGGGAGGGCGAGGTCGAGGTGATTACGGATAAGGGACTGAAGGATCCAAAGTCTTTTCAACAGCAGTTGTTCAATACGAAGCCGTTCAAGATGCTGGAATGGATTGGACTGCCTCCGAATGTTGGAATTATGAAGTTTGTAAATGAATCCACGACTTCCCCCGCAAAGACGCCGACGCGGTCATCCGATTTTAGCAACGAGCGAGATGCTGCCACTCCAACCCTGCTTCATGAGCAACCGCCGAGATTTAAAGATTATTCTAACCCAATGGAGCTTATAGATCTCGGGCGCCTAAATAAGGACTCGGAGCCTGTATCGCATCATAAGCACCAGGAGATATTACAGCAACCACCCCTACCGCCACGAAAGCGCCGGTCGTCAAATGCCTCCAAAGCAGCTCTTAAGGACGTGACCCCAACTCCTCATTCAAACGCGAGATCTAGAATGACTACCCCCGGTGGCCGGAATCCTAACATGATACCCCCTCCACTGATCGGTCCCCACCTTCACCAGAAATCAAAAACAGTAAATCCTCAGCTACAATTGACTCCTTCGAGATCGGAGAAACATTCGCTGACAGCACAGTCGCTTATGGCCGAGGACGAGGATTTAACCCCCCAATCATTAACAAAGCTAGATAAGGAGATTTGCTCTGCGTTATTGAAAATGTGTACGGATCCTGCTGCGACTAGTGCGCAATCTCGGGATGCTGCTGAATTTGCCAAGCAAAGTCTGTTTTACGTTTTTAGCACCCCAGAGGCGTTACTCAAGTCGTTCGTATCGGAGAAAACGGAGTCTGATTCAGATGACATCGATCTTAATCTGGACGATATGGATCAAGCGTTCCGGATGTTGTTTTGGAATGAAGCCTGGGAGGCGCAAGTTATGCAAGGGCTTTGGATGGGGCTGGAAGCGGTTTTCAAAATTCCCGGCGAGGAAGGACGGTTATCGGATAAGGACACTGCCCAGGTCGTATCAATAGCTTTACACGCTCTCGCGGCCGCTGTGCCCCGGAGCACGCCGGAAGTGTGGATGACTGTGCGCAAGCTTAGGGGGAGTGGCAAAGTTAGTGAGGCGGGGGCTGTTTGTGAGATCTGGTTCGAGGATGAGATGGCAGAAAGACTCATGCGGCGGGTGGTCAGGGCGATTGCGTATAGACATTCACGAGGGGATCAGGTTGCACCCCGGCTTCAGAGACACCTCCGAAATTGCGGTATGTTTCAGTTTGAGCAGCGTCGGGAGCGGTTGGCTAGAGAGGTTGGGGAGGATTTGGCGAAAGTTATGGACCGGGAGAGGGGTGGTTGGGGTTTGGGGGTTTGCACCTTGGAGTGGTGTAGAGCTATTCTGTTGAAGGCTTGGGATGGCCAGGAAACTACCCGTGTGGCTGGTGTGGTCGGGTGCTGCTTGGTATTGATGAAAATCCTCTGTAAGCTTTTTCGATTCGGGTGGGATGAGTGCAGCTAATGGCGAGATTTAGATGATGGCCATCAATCTTACGGAATTGACCAAGAGTTTTTCCATACGCGGGCGCTCTCGGACCGATTTGATCCCAAGGATGTTCCGGTCCAGTGGTTTGACAGTGAGCCGAAGTCTGGACTTCTCCATTTTCTCGACTATGCCTTCCTTTTCCCGGAGAATTTACGAGTGACCTATTTCCGAGCTGTAAATCTCGCGCACATGACGAAAGCGTATGAGCAGTCCATGACCATGCAACGGTTGACAACCCAGATGTCGATGAACACCGCCCTTTTGGATCCGCAAGACGAGAGACTAGACCGGCGGATGCGCATTCCACTCAGCAGCTATCTTCTTGTAGAAGTCCGGCGGGAGACTGTTCTCCAGGATGCGCTGAATCAAGTATTTGGGAGGGAGATCCGGGAGCTAAAACGACCGTTAAAGGTCCGGTTCGCGAACGAGGGTGAGGAGGGTGTGGATCACGGAGGTGTACAACAGGATTTCTTCATTGTTGCAATTAGAGAGGCGCTAAGGTCTGACTATGGACTGTTCACGACGGACGAACAGAGCAGGATGAATTGGTTTAGCGTTGCGCCTATCGAGCCCACTCACAAATATGAGCTTCTAGGGCTTTTGGTCGGATTAGCGGTCTACAACGGTGTCACTTTACCGGTAACCTTTCCCAGGATCCTCTACAAAAAGCTCCTTGGCGGTAAGGCGGAGGACTTGGAAGACATCGAAGATGGGTGGGGTCAACTTGCGAAGGGCTTCAAACAACTTCTGGAATGGAACGATGGTGACGTTGGTGACATCTTCCTTAGGACGTACGATTTCTCGTACGACTTTTTCGGCCAGGTCAAGTATGTGAACATGCTCAGAGCTAAGGAGAGAAGGATTGAGTTCTTAGACATCAAGCTCAATAAATTGAGGAAAGCCAAGTCGAAGCCCGAGACACCGCATGAGCGGTTTCCGACTCCACCTTTGGGTGGTGAGCGGGATTCATGGCCGGGTGGGTTGAACGATGAGCTGGATGATATCGTTCGGAGTGCTGGCTCTTCCTATCATGTTACGATTAGGGAGTGGCCGGGTGATGATTGCGATATGATCGGTGATGGAAGGGGCGTGGATGAAGAGGATGAGGCGAGTGGTGTCGATCCTAGGCAGGATGGGGACGGGGGACAGCCAGGTGACGAGCCGCTCGAGCCTGCCTTGTCGGGGACCGTCGAGGCGGGGGGAGCTAGGATGACGTCGGGGAATGGAGGAAGCCAAACGACTGAATCTCTGGCGCTTGACATTCAGAGCGGTGGTATTGATAACGATAGCTTCCGGGATGCGGGCGAGGAAGTTGAAACGCCAGCGAAAGGGGGTAGTGATTACACGATAGAGGGCTCCCGGGCGCCGGCACAGGAGAAGGGAAAAGATGTTGCACATGTTTCTTTTTCTCTAGAGCTATCGGAAGAAGTACCCGTTGAAGAAGATTCCCCAAGCTCGGACGAGCAAGAGCCCAAAGAGGAAGCTCCCCTGGTCACTAACGAGAACCGTGAGGCTTTCGTAAAGGACTACATATCTTGGCTTACCGACCGCTCCATCCGTCGGCAATATCAAGCTTTCGAAAAGGGCTTCTTTGCGGTTATTGACCGAAAGTCTCTATCCGTGAGTTTATCCTCCTCCTTGCTCTATTTACTGCCACTCCAGTTCTGGTAGAGAGGGATTTCTCTTTGCCCGCGCAGCTGGCCCTTCCCCCACACAAACCCCAATTGTCAGGGACCGACGTGCAGTTTGACCAGCTGACACTTGCTAGCTCTTTACCCCCTCAAACCTCCAATCCCTAACAGAAGGGATCCAAGAAATCGACATCACAGAGCTCGAAAGGACCGCCCGCTACGAAGATGGCTATAGCCCCACCCACCGTGTAATCAAGGAATTTTGGATGACTGTGCGCGGTTTCTCTGCGGAGCGGCGCCGCCAACTCCTGGAGTTCGTCACGGCCAGCGGGCGTGTGCCTGTTAATGGGATTTCCAGTATCATGTTCGTGATTCAGAGGAATGGGCCCGATAGCGACCGTGTACCCACCAGTCTTACGTGCTTTGGGAGGCTACTGTTACCGGAGTATTCGAACCGTAAGAAGTTAAGGGATAAGTTGAGAGTTGCGTTGGAGAATGGGAAGGGGTTTGGGGTTCCTTGAGGGGTTGGGTTGGATAAAGCTGAATTGGGCGTTGGAGATGATTCATCTCTTTTCGAACCTTTTTCTTTTTTCTTTCTCCCTCTTGTTTCCTTTTATACTTGCGTATCTGATGATGGGTGACTGATGTCGGAGTTATTTGCTGTTTGCCGTTATGAGGCGGCTTTCCCTAACTCGTTTGGCTTTGCTGTGGGGTTAGTTTGTCAGGTTAGATATCATGCTATTCCTCTTTACTTTTTTTGTTTTTCCTTTGGAACTTAGCTTCTGTACTGGTCGTTTTTCTTACGGAAAAGTTGCATTTTGGGATTTTTAGAAGTGTGGTTGGCGGGTGGATACGCGAATTCCGCGGTTCGAATTTATAGTGAATCGGGAGGGGCGTGCTGGTGATGGGTAGGATTGTAACTATCATGCGGCACAACTATAAAAACCTATTCACTCATTCCGGTGGCTTGCACGCATCATTGAAGCAGAAGGATACCATCTCGTACACAACCCGCCACCTCCCTCCCAGCCCAGTAGCTCGAAGAACCCAATAAATAACGTACCGGCAAACTCTCGAGAGACGAGTTTTCGGACCGGTATCTTGCAAGACCCGCCAACATTCCCAACCATCCAACCATCCATCCGGTTAAGCCACCCATAGCTTTCTTCATTTCTTTGCTAGAACTAGAGTTGTGAAGGAAGGTTTTATACACTGGAACTTCCGTGGTGTTCAAGTCCTACGATAGCTAAATATTCATATGGGGTGTCTTCGCTAGTACAGACCCACCTTTACCTGTGCAGCGCTGTGGGTAGTGAGGCTTCGGAGCGGCTCGGTACTGGACAGGTATGAGGTATGATATGATACTGTACGTCTGGTAGGGGACCACTACAACCACAATGGAAGCTATATGATCACAAGATCTCACTCGGTTCTCACAGATTTAGTCGATGGGTGGGATCGGAACCTGATGCTGAGCTTAATTAAATTGAGGGGTTGATCTATAGTTGGGGTACTGTGCGGCTGGTTCGTTCCTTTTTCTTTTCTTTCTTTTCCTCAACGGACCTCTTCTGGGTCCGCTCTCTGTTGGGTGGGTTGGGTCTTTGAGCTCTAGTTTTTCTCGCAGGGATTTCCTCCCCTCACCTCTCCCTTTGGCTTCCCCTAACTTGAGGGCATATTTTTTTTTTATCCCCTCTCTCCTCGTTCGCCGCTGATTATTGTGCCCTCAAGTCCCTAAAAAACAAATGGGCTAGCGTGTCCGAGGTTGATCCTAGAGAAGCCCACTCAGGCTATTTACTGATGCAATAGCTGATAACCTGGTGCGACGGAGAGGGCGTCCTTAGGCGGTGGGGGGTTTTGCCTTTTTGCCCTATTTTTATATTCCTTTTTGGTATGGTGCAACGACCGAAGAATGTGAACCATGTGGCACATCAAAAATGCAACCGTGGCTGTGCAACATAACTGCCAAGACCTTGAGTAATAAGATTATAAAACTGAAGTAAATAATGTATAATAAGAAGTAAAAGATATTAAAGTACATTAATTAAATATAATAGATTGAGAGTTTCATACTCTCTGATTGCTCCAATGTGTTTTTGAAACTTTGTCCTTGAGGTCTAACGTACTATAAGCAATACCTTTTCAATATGCTCATATCATTCAGAATAGCTTTAGGATGTCAGTATATGTTTGTTGGTTTTTGACAAGTCTATCTATCTCTATAGTGTATGGTTAGTCTGCCTTTTCTGATTGCATTCTAATGCCAAGACCTCAGTCTTACACCAAATGTTCAGTTTTTCAAATGAGTATACCATCCTCTTCAATTGCCTCTACTAATTCAAAAAAAAATGTACTTTTATTCAGATCCTCTTTGCCTGCATTAGTACAGTTTTTTTTACATGATTTGAACTAGTATGAGGTTAGTTATACCACCTTAAACACACCCCTAAATGAGGTTCACACATCCATTTCTGCACCATATGATACTATTGTGTAGTAACTACACCTTGTAGTTTGTGCCTGTTGCCCCCACCCTTGTTAGGAGGTTTCTGGGATTAGGGCATTTAGGTCTAGGACTGGGAATACAGGGAAGTCCCATCGAGGGTTTTTTTTAATGTCTTGAAATGTGGGGTAGAAAGGATGCCGGGGAAAGTTATTAGACATTCGGGGCTGGCTGGAGTCATAGCTCGGATTCTTTGACACAACTATTGTTTGAAACGAGTGATTTCTTATAACTATAGGTGGGCCGAAAAGTAAAGATTTTTAGTATCATATCCTTCTACGAAGGCGCGGGGATTGATACAAGGTTTGGATGGGGCAGCGGTCGCCTTCCCTTTTCGTCTGAGGATACTGTACTGAAGTGGGAATTCCAATACAAGGAGTCCAGTTTTAGTTCGCCCATCTGAGAAGTGGAGCACATTGAAGGTTACTGGGAGCCTGTGGGTGAATAGGTGTCTGCTTCCCTGTTACGGAGGGTTTCCCACCCAATAATACCTTTGTAGTGTCGAGCAACGCTGACACCGTGCAGCTACAAATCAGGCGACATCCTTCCCGTGGGATCCTCAATATTGAGGTATTTGAAAAGGTTGTATGCTTGACCGATAAGTTTGCTGATAATTTCAAGCAGACTGCCCCACATCAAGGTTATATATAATGGAGCTCAATTGAAAGAATGAGTGTGATTATCTGACGGCTGTTCAAATAGGGCATAGGTAGACGACTCCTGTAGCACATTTGGTTCTCTGCTCTTTGGGGCTCAATTTCTTGTGAAATTTGGTTATGAGTTTGGAGACGGCGGGAGCTACGAATACAAGATTGGGGAAAAGGGGGGTTTCTTTCCCGAGAGCGGTTAATAGTCGGGGGCCTGGGGTGCAAACTGGATTGTGAGTCTCGACATTCCACAAAATGTGCGATAGTAGTTTCGAGTATATTGTTCTACTCTAGAAATTTCTCCTCAGAATGATGAAAACAATCCTCGCGATTGCTCAAGCTTATCGATTCCCCTTGCCGAAGCCGGCCCCCTTCCCTCCCTAGAGGATAGCCAGGAAATCCTTTTACAACCCTTAATTCAACCACAGAATCACAGATTCTGACAAAAACCCTTCCCTCCAATCAATTATTCCAAGTTGCATAATATTTCACCTTCCTCCCACTTCCTTTCAAAGGGGCTGAAATGGATACCTCTCTCGAACTCTCCTCCCCTTGTCTCTTCCATCTTGCTAATCTTTGCGCCCTTTGGTGTGCCCTCTTCTTTAGCCTTTTCCCTATTTGGGAAATTGTGGTGGGACAAATTAACAAACTAGGAGATGCAGAACAGGGTCCCTCTTCGGGGGTTTGGCGACCTGGCGGAAGGTGTCCAGTAAACTGGGGAAATTCAACGGACCTGGCACGCTCGATAGCTCCAACAGGGAAGCTCAGGTGCAAACCTAGCCCCGAATGGTAATACTTTTCTGGGTTGGGAGTTTGTGAAGCTTGTAACTCCTCCTCTGTTCGGGTGTCCATTTTTTTCTGCACTCTTTTCCCCTCTCCGCTCGTACTCGTAGAGCCTGAACTAACAATATTGTTGGTATACTCGGTACCCATGCCCAGCCCGAGGCCGTTACCCATTTGCAGGTGGGAGTCGAAATGTATGCTTGGAAGTTGGGCTCCAGCCTCGCTGGAACTAGGGGATGGAGGACTTGTTGGTGTCGGCATTAGGCTGGCTGATGACTTTTTTCTTCCCACCCTGGAGGGTTATTTGTGTAGATCTGCAGAACTTGTATATTGATTACGGGTAATGTGTGAGTGGGTGAGATTATGGCTGCGTAGGCATTTACAGGCTGGGAGTCCTCGCCTTGAGAACTAGTAGGGGGTGGAGGATGCCGGAACCACGCCCGCCTATGGGATATTCAACGGTGGTTTGAGAACTTTGAAAGGCGTGGAACCCTATCCCATCTCGCCGGTCGGTTTAGAATTCTATGGTCTGCCATATTTTCAAGCGCGGTGTTGCTCGAAGTGAGGAGTGGAAGAAGTGTGACCAGTTTGGCAACAAAGGAGCTGACTAATGCAAATGTCATGAATAATGGAGAATAGACCGAAGACCTCCGAACATCACAATATGCAAGCGCAGGTAGGGTCTCGGGTGGCCGAAACCGTACTCCTCTAGTCCAAGTGACATATTAGAGAGTTTGCGCAGTGAGACCTAGGTGGTGTTAATATAAGTTAACAATAAGGCTTGGCCACCTGGTTCTTTGGTCCCACCTGGTCAAGGTGTAAAAACTCGAAAGTCGGACCTGGAATTGAGGACGACAAATGCCTACTTGAACTGCACTTTTATGCCTCTACTGGAGTATTCAGGCATGATTTTGTAGCCATTCTTCTCAAGGACAATCCTGAGAAGAGAAACTTCATGAAAGTTAAGAATTGGCTGATGCTTTCCCTATTAGAAAATGTCACATTATTCCTGAAGACAATCATTGCTGGACAGCCTATCTGAGGAGCCCCACCCCCACCCCCTTAGCATTTATCTCAGTCTGCTACACTGAACTTTTCAGTACATGTTTCATCCTCATACAAACCCTTTTTTCAATTTCTCCTTTTTTACATCTTTTATTACAAAAAAAAAAGCATGAGAGAACTGACATCCTGATTTTCAGATACTCTCACACTTTTTTTACACTGATATTTGTTGTTTTGGAGGAGTTATTTCATTGCCGGTTTGTCCTGTATGTAGTTGGTTGGACCAGGTTTCAAGAAAGTTGAACCATATAATGGAGCACTCTAGAATCCGGATTTTAGCGAGATTCTAGAATCAAACCTTTTGCCTATAACGTTTGCGCTATGCGGGGGATCACAGTTCGGGGCAAAATTTTCTGGTCGCTAGCGTGTCCTACTGGACTAAGTTATATAGGCTCTAAAAATAGGCCCTCTGATCTAGAGTTTTCTGAATTTTGGAGACTTGTCAGGTCGGATGTGAGGAATTATAGGTCGGTTCCGCCGTGGAATTTTCCATTAACTTAAGGAGGTAGAGATATTATGGAGTGAGTGGGGTTAAGATTATAGGTTGAATAGAAATGGATTTTGCCCTTGTTTCCGTCCCATCATGGACCCCACCCCGAAACACTCATGGCATATTCAATCTCCAGACTTTACCTCTTCCAAAAAACAAATTTATTCAAACAAAATCTCTATGATCAACTTGAGATGCTAGATAAAAAAATTTCCCCTGGAGACTTCCCTGATTCCGGGCCGCCGCCACCTGCCTCTTCACTAGCACCTTCACCTCGGAGTGCGAATAAAAGCGGGCAAGGGTGAAAAAAAAGGGTACCTCTAAATGATGAAAAGAAGAAAGAGGAGCAAGGTGGAAGGGTCCATTGTCAAGAAAGAATACCTGCTATAATTGAGCCCAGTGCCTTTCCGTAGCACGGAGGTGAGTCTGGAGGTTTGCTCGATGAAGACTCGCACACGGCATCCTCTCTTATCGTTGGAGACTATCCACTACGACTAGTTATAATGGACAAGGGAAAAAAAGCAAGGCTTGGGAATCGCCATAGCTAGAAACATCCCGTATATTTTATATGGGATTTACATGCATACGTATAAGTAGAAAGGTAGATCACATTCTAAAATCTAGTCCTAGGTGGAAAATTTCCAAACACGAGGTTTAATACACCCTCTTCAGCGAATCTCTTTCAGCGGAAGAATTTCAGACGGTTTCTCGAGAACCCGGAGTACCTGTCATTGAGCATTTTTTTTCTCGCACCTCTCATCAGCGCCAATAGCGGTAAAGATCGAACAAGAAGCGAAAGTCCGATTGGGGACATCATTTCGAAGCATCCTTACTAATTTACGTTATACTGTAGGAAGACAAAATCCCGCGTGAAAAGGAGGAGTGAGTATCTTGTGTGATACCGCTCTGCCGGGTAGACTACGGGTGTTTCCCCGGTATGACGAAACGTGAGCCATGCCCGGTACCCCAGAAATCCGCAGCTTGTCAATAGTGGGTTATCAAAACCACCGAACTCGGAGAAGCTTAAGGAGGTTATCACGGCTTCTGATGTGCAATTGGTTCAGCGGCTATGATGTCTATCTTTTGATTCAAATGCTTGCATATGTCCCGTGTCAGGTGCGACAACATCCTAGGCTGAAGCCTTCATCTTTCTTCACTTGGTCTAACCCCCCTATGGTACCTTACCCACCCCTGAATATAGGTGCTGTGCATCCTCATAGTCTATTAGCGATAGGTTTAAAGCCGCTCATGAAGCAGGCACAGATAAGAAGATTGCCGTTATTGAGGGGACGAGAATTAGGTTTGTTCACACGACCTGGGGAATAATGCGCTACTCGGGGTGGCAGAGGTATCGATATTTCTTGTGTCGATACTGTTGAATCTCTATGGGGGTGTTGACTTCTGGGGAGCTATGGTTGGCTAAGTAGGGTATGATGAGGGTTGCTTTTGCGGGGGTATCGAAGTAGTAGTAGAAGTGGGTTAAACTATGTGAAGGTCGCTCCAGGCAGCGTTTCCTATGGTGGAATGCGGATCAAATTGTATGGTAGAGCACAAGAGACCTTTCTCCTCCCTTTCCTAAAGGTATCGTACTTGGGGATCAAATGGGACAACGTTTTACAGAAAGAATGTGTGTGGGCTTCTTTTTGCGGGGGTAAGGCGATACCTGGCTAAGTTAGATAATACTCGAAGAATTTCACTTCTGTTGCCAGTTTGTTAAAGAGAATACAGCACACTCCATGCCGCTCTCATTTCTTCAGCGTTCGTCCCGTTCGAAAATGTCACTCCAACAAAACCTGAATCATACGCCTGCGGAGCTACAAACAGCCACTTAGTGCCCTCGGGCAGCCTTAGGACCTCTCGACAACCTCCTCCACCTTTCTATCACACTCCGTGATCCCCTCCACAATGCCCTCCACGACCCCCCAACTTTATCCACAACTTCTTCCACAACCCCCTCTACAACCCCCTGCACAACCCCCTGCGCAACCCCCTGCGCGATCTCCCCCACGACCCCCCCCTCCTCCCTCTCTTCTTCCTTCTCCTCCTTCCCCTCCTTCTCCTTCTCCACCACCTCCCCCCCAAAGGCCTTCATATTAACCAACCCCCACTTCTCAAACAACCTCCTATCAGCCTCGAACCCAGAGCACTCAGTAGTCAACATTCTCTCGCCCGTGAACACCGCATTCGCCCCGGCAAAGAAGGCAAGCACCTGCTGCTCCTCGGTCAGATTAATCCTCCCAGCAGCCAAGCGCACAATACTCCCAGGCATCAGGATCCTCGCTGTCGCCACAACCCTAAGAAAACTATCGAAAGGGACCTTCTTATTCTCTCCCAATGGTGTCCCCTTTATTGGAACTAGCGCATTGATAGGAACAGACTCAGGATGCTCAGGCAGTGTAGACAGGGTATGCAAGAAAGAAACGTGATCCTCCGCCGTCTCTCCAAGACCGAGTATTCCCCCGGTACACACCGAAATACCGGCATTCCGCACGTTCTCAATGGTCCGCAGCCGCTCATCGAACCCCCTGGTAGTGATAACCTTCGGATAGAATTCCCGGCTGGTATCCAGGTTGTGATTATATGCCGTTAATCCAGCGCCCTTTAATTCCTCCGCCGCCTTCGAATCCAACATTCCCAGCGTCACACACACTTCCATCCCGAGCCCGCGAACCTCGCGGACCATGTCTTTTATGCGCCCCAGGCCACGCGTGCGACCGGACATGTCGCGCCATGCTGCGCCCATGCAGAAACGTGTGCTCCCGTTCGCCTTGGCTTCGCGAGCGGCCGCCATGACGGTTTCGAGGGTGGAGAGCTTCGTCGCCGTTAGCCCGGTAGAGTAGCGAGAGGATTGGGCGCAGTAACTGCAGTCTTCCGTGCAGCCGCCAGTTTTTATGGACAGGAGGGTGCAGGTTTGGACGGTGTTGTGGGGGTGGTGTTTTCTATGCAACGTTGCCTGGCCGGTGGTACGTTAGCCGGAAGCGTGGATATGCGGAGAGCAGGGGAGAGTCACAGCGGCGTACGCCAACTCCATCAAGGGAGTATTGTAAATACTGGAAATCTCATCCTTCGTCCAGGTATTCCTCGGCGGCGCGTTGAGCGCTCTCTCCAACACCGTCTTTCCATCTTTGGCAGCCACAGCCGCAGGGCTTTCGGCATGCGTCGCCAGCCGCCTCACCGCGCCTGCCCTCCGGACACCAATTATCGAAAGATGCGCAATACGGTTCATCTCGTTCCCGTTCTCTCTATCCCTCTTATCTGTTCCTTTCTCTCCTGGATATCGTAGATGGCGATCCCACCATTGTCGAAGCCCCGAGGTGGAGTCACATCAACCCCATCTCGGCGATTACTCATCGCGGGAACACAAAGGTTCCTCGATACGTTAGCGAGCATAATATCCCCCCACGCTGATTCGACAATCACATCTTGCAACTGGGTGTCGCGGTGCTGTACGGTAATACTGTACAGTACTCGTACGGATACGAGTGCGGGGAGGTGGGGGGGCGTATACTCGGGTAGGCTGGGGCTTACCGGCACCCTTGTGCTGGTGGCGCACCATGGGCAGAATACACCATAGTTCTCGCGATTTTCAAAAGTATCATAATACCAGCGTTATGGTGAGCAGAGACCGAGTTGAGAAAGGAGAAGAAAAAAAAGGAGAAGCGTCAAAACCCCCCAACAGTACTAGTGTTCATAGGGTACTCGTAGATGTCATTCAGAATTTTCCCCTTAGTCTTAGTAATCCTATGGAATTGATGGACAGAGATACGCCAAGCCAGACAGCCAAAATTCCGGGAATAAAATCTTTACGGTAGAAAGTATCATATTCATCCTTCCCCCAGACCAGCCAGAAAACACTGTCCGAAGGTATGCTCTACTGTACAGTACTATGATAGTATGGTATTAGCGCCCAAACGCGCCGTGATTATCATGATACTACCCGAGCACGAGTACGAGCACATGATCACATAAAAGCACGGTACCCTGTTTCTTTATTTCTACCTATTTTCGCCTACTCGAGTACTTGTACTAGCCTGGAACAAAAAGTGATCGGAAAAAAAGTGGTTGGCACAACACCACTTTTTTCCGATCACTTACCCTTACACCCTGGTACAAGTATGATACGGAGCAATACGGTATTGTGAACTGCCAAGCTCTTCCTAAAACCTACGGTACCCGTATCATACCGAATTACCACGGATCCACAAAAGTCCCACCACGTGATCGCGTGTTAGTGAGCGCTGCTGTCAACCGCTCGGCCGGATACAGTCTACTCGAGTATTGGGATTAAACTCCACCATGACCATTCCCACACCTTGCTGCAGATAGATGGAAATATGATCTCTACCTTGCGTGGATAGTAAATTTCTATTTCACCGGAAGAAAAAAGGTACGAGTAATTGTGACGTAGCTTTTTTACCCACCCATAAATCTTGCCCCCTATGAGGTTCAGGGGAGGCTGAAACTTGCCGGCCATTCTTCAGGCGCACGTTTTACCCAGGCACCTACTATGTCGGCATCATGGCTACCGTACTTGCACGTCGGCATGGAGGTAGGGTGTGCGCTCCGCAACTTCCGCTTGCAGGGCTGAGTGGCGGGTCATCGGAGATTATGAGTGGGTGGTAGCGGTATCGCCGAGGGGGGGATTCTGTGTATGCATACTATTGCTGTGCACTAGTACGTGTGACATATCGTAGTATCCTCGGCGAGGTGAGCAAAAGCGGAAGCAAAGAGTGGGCTAGGCCAAGTGAACTATGAGCTACCACCACCAGTTAAATTTTTACCGAAAATTCATATATAACCAAAAAGCTAGATCGACACATTACATCTAACATCTACCCTACCTACCGGCCAAAATGTCCTTCCAACACCTCCCCATAGAACTCCACCTCGAAATCACCTCGCAACTCTCCAATGCATCCCTTGCCGCCCTCTCACGCACATGCAAGGACCTACACGGGCGGACAACACCGGTGCTCTGGTCACACCTCCAATTCGGCCCCCCAACGCCTCAGCTCTTCCAAGAGCGCGCGTTTCCGGTGCCAACCTCACCGCCATACATCTGCCCCCCGCTGGCCCGAGACGGGGCCCTGTATGTGAAGCGGCACATGGATGAGGGTGGGGTTCTAGCGTTTTATTCCGCGGCGCGGAAGGGGTTTATCCGGGATGAGACTTTTGCCCTTGTTCGGAGTTTGGAGTTGAGGAGTTGTGTGCTTGGTGCTTGCTTTGCTTCTGGCGGGGAGTACCCGGCATCCGCGGCGGGCGGTGAGGAGTTGCGCCATTGGCGGGAATTACATAACGGGGGTTTTGTTGCGGTTTTTGAAGAGTTGCTGAAAGAGAGGATCCAGGGGTTGAAGTATATTACAATTGTTTATGACCGGGGTGGGCTCTTCCCCGCAAGTCAGTGACATGTCGATAAAGGGGGAGAAGATGTGCTGATGGGATATTCCCTTCTAGCGCCGAATTTTGAACGGGACCCCACGGGGAATGAACTGAAGGCGGTGCAGAAGGCTCAGGACTTTTGTCGCATCATTGGGGCATACGCGGCGATGCACCCACTTGTTCAGGTGAAGATATCAACAACTCATTTCGCGCTCGTGCACGCGTTATTCACGGCTCACTCGCCACCGCAATGCGTCACGTCGTTGAAGACGTCAATCTATCGGCGTCCGGCGATGCTGGAAACCTTCAGACGATACGTTCTACCTGCGTTAGGAGCGAACCTTGAACACCTCGCACTCCTCGCCACGGGGCCCGGATCTGGCTTCCCTCCGAACACCATCTGGGATCACTACTCAGGCGCATACTTCCACGTTGCCCCGGGAGTATTCGACGATGAGCACTTCTTTTCCAACTTCCGATTCGAAAAACTAAAATCGGTAGAGTACACAGCAGACCTCTTCACCTTCGCTTGGGCTCCATCGGGTGTCCAAAGGCTCTGCATCCGCCACTCGCGGACCGCGCATCCACACTGGTGGAGGTCCCTGGGGAAGCACGCACTCCGGGGCTTGGAAAATCTGGAAATCTGGTACGACTGCGACTCAATAGTACCGGGAGGAGCACAATCACCACCCCCACCAGAAGATGATGACACATCCACCGACTTCTCAGTGTGCTTCCGCGATCTAAAGGCACTCGCCATCGCACGCAATCCGCCGCACAGGAGGCACGTTGTTCATCTCGAGGAATCGGTCGCGTCCGTGCGTATCCGTGAAGCAGTCGTGCGCGCGAATGTCGACCTGGAAGAGGTCTTCCTCGAGCACGGCGATGTCCGAACGCTGGCAACCTTGTGCTCACGCGGGAGATTACGAAGTCTGACGGTTCAATCAACCCTACATCAACCGTTCCAAAACCCGGAAATCATCAAGCTGATAGCAAACCTGCAGGAGTTGGCCTGGTTGCATATTTGCGTTCAGGATGGGCTCGGCACCGCGTTTCCAACGCGGGAGCTGTTGACCATGCTTGCTAAGCATTGCGCGAAGCTGTCGTGGGTTGTCATGGAAGATCGTGGATTCGCGGAGGTTCCAGGGATGGAGGAGTTTTACGCACCCGGCATGCTTACGCGCATGACGCAGGATCAGTATGAGTACTTGTCGGCTACGTGTAGGCGGTCAAATATGGCGCAGATATGGGTGTTTAGGTTGGACGTCTGGAGAGAGAGAAATAGGTACTGGCTTGATGTTTGATCTGGAGCCTGGAGGTGGAGCTTCGGAGTTGCGGATTGGCCGAGGGGGGAAAAGTCCGAGAGGTTAATGGGGTTAATTTGGGGTTTTTGAAATGGACGATGCGTGATGATTGGCGTCATGTGATGCAAATCTTACGCCATCAAAATTTACCCGTATATTAGCCCTATGATAGTCTTTGTATTTCTAAATTCTCTCGGTCGAGTTTGAGAGAAATTGGGGAGAATCCCGGCGTCTGCAAGTTGGTAAATGACATCTGATCGGGAGAGATCATGGTATGCTTCTTATTTCCTTTTTTTCTGGACTAGGAAGGGCCTAGCGGTACTATACTCGGGTTGGGCAAGACTGGACTGTAAGCGAAAGCTTCGAACTCGAGTCTCCAGTTCGGTCCTTCGCCGAGCCCGCCAGAATCACACGACCAATCCCAATGACCAGAATGAACAAATAAACTAATTGAATTGAGCTATGATAGGCATTCTTCTTTTTCAAGCCCTTAAAAAACTACCCAACAACCCCCTTTACGACCGCCTCAACACCGGCGTCGTCCAGTACCTTGACGCCTAAAATCTCATTATCCAACTTTTCAGAGTAATCACCGCCGTACCCCTCTGCCCAAATACCCCTCTTGATCAAGTCGACAAAGCCAGAAAGGTCCCCCTTGGCAATCTTCTCGTTGCCCTCTCTCTCGAGATCTTCAGTATTCTGTTGCTCGACTGCAAACTTCTCGCCGGCTGCCTTCTCGGCCGCAGCGAGGAGCTTGTTTTGAGTGGTCACGGCGGATTGGACAAACACGTAGCGGTTCTTCGTCTCCTCGGGATGTGCAAGGATGCCGACGACAGATTGCCCAATGTCTGAGAGGTTGGTAGTGCCGAAGGGGGTGTTTCCGCCGTCGAGAAGTGTGGCCCTTTTGTTGGGGATGTCGATTCCTAGGAAACCGACCTTGAGTCCTACACTATCTGTTAGCATCTGGTGTGGAAGACAAAGGATCATGGGATGGGGAGGAACAAACCCCAATCGAAAAACGGCCCATTGACCAGAGAACTCCAGGTAATCTCTCCTTCCTTCTTCTTCAAGTAATCTACAGTCGCAATCTTCCCTCCGAAAACAGCCAACTTCGCGGTCTTGTCGTTGTTAACGTTGCTGCCGAATTCACTGGGGATGAACCTCTTTACACCAGCTTGAATAGCGGCGTCAATGAGGGCCTGCTGGTCTCCGAGCGCGGCACCGGCAATTGTCGAGACGACTGCGTCTTGGCCGGCGAACGCTGCCGCAAGGGAGGAGACGGAAGTGTAGTCTGCTGTGAGTACCTTGGTATTGGGGGGGGGGGATTGAGCTGTTTTGGAGTTTTCGCGGGTGAGGATTGTAGTCTCCAATGCGGAGGATGCCTGGAGGGCTTTTAAGATTGAAGGGCCGAGATTTCCGGTTGCCTGGAGATTGTTAGCTCGGGGCGAAAATAGGGAGGGGAGATGCTAACCCCGACGAGAATGACTCTTCTAATGGCAGACATATCCAATTGATATTGTTTGGTGTCTTTTGAATAAAGTGCAACGTTGGCAGAGCTGTGAATAGTGGAATAGAACTGCTAGTGCTTGCTCTGTTTGCTGGAAAAGACGAGTTCTCGTGCCCTCCAAGCCTCTCTTTATACCCCCCCACCTCTTCCATTAAGTTCCATCCAACTCTGCTTTTGCTGAGGGAGCAAGTTCTACTTGTATCATATCGCTGCCGTGCAGGTACCACAAACCCCAAGGCACCACACACCGCAACCAGGAATCCCGACCTCAAACAGGCAACCGACACGCAATATCGTGCAACCAGGGCCACCCCTTACATCCAATGTCCCGCGTCCCGCGGGCCTTCCTTCCCCGCGGCAGCTCGCGCGGGACCCGGCTAACCATTCTCGGAAGTGGGATCGCTTACGAATGCGAGTTCTTCTAGTTGGAGTAGGATTATTGATGAATTGGAAATTGGATTTTGTCATATTTGTCAGCTGTGGTGCCAATACGAGCACCGTACCTTGGGGGATCAGGGGTTCGGACATTCGATGCTCCTGTCGGAAGGGGACTCTGGAAGGGTTAATCTGGGTGTCGATAAGCGGGTAACGGATCGGTAACCGAAGTTAGCGAGAGCTTACCGCGCTAAAATTGCCTCATGGAATAGCCGGATTATTGGTGGGTTCGGGATCCCGTCCACGCACGGATGCTGATGGAAGTTGATGGCACGCTACAGAACGGGGAGTAAGTTACGGTAATGAGGGTTATCGAGAATGATTGTGGGATTGCGGGTGGAGATACTGGGGTAGATTTGCGGCACAGTCGCTCACTCGGTTTTCGTTTCCACTCATCGAGGGCCCTTGAGTTCAGGAGAGCTGGTGGGCCGTACCCACCGGAACAGTGTTTTTTATTATTCCCCCTCTCCACCATCGCCGGAGACTTGCGGACTGGCTCCAAAATGTGAATGTATATTGGGGATCACTGAAAAAAAAAATGATGGGCGGTGGTGATCTTTTTTTCTAAATCCCGTTGAATTTTTGTAAACTATAATACCCTATTTTCCGATCGCGGTATGTCCTGACGCCTCAGCCGATTGAGTACAAAATGAAAATCTATGGTTATACTATCAGGATGTGTTCCAGGTGAAGCGGGCTCTAGGGATCTCTGCTTTCTTACTCGCGCTTTTCTGGCAGGATTTGGGGCGGGACCTGCATAGTGGACGGCGCAGGCCCTTCCCCGTAGAAGATGTGTACCGGAATTATACAAGTGGGACCCAAAAGGTGAGCGGGAAAAACACAGTTTGTGCCGGGAATAGCCAACCCCACATGCTGATTCCAGCACTAATATTTGTATTAGAAATGAGATAACTTCATAGAGTGTTCGGGAGGGGTGTGTACTGGCCACACTTGACTTGCCTTGTAACCTGAATGAATTTAGATTCCCGGAAGAGTAGTAGCCATAGGGAACAAAGCTTCCCTCAAACTTGCGCCAAGACTGTTTGTTTTGGCGGGAAATCTGTGTTGTGGGGTTCGAAAATTCAACATTATCTCATATCAACAATACATCGTGCGGTTCTTGTGGAGCTAGGAATTGGGTGGAAATTTGTGTAATATTATAGGAAATGATATCGCTACTCTTTTCAGTGGTTCCATTGATAGGTTGTATTTTTGTGAGTTTTCTCCACTGGAGTGTCTTGGTGCGGGATTTGCTGTTTTTTTCGGTAAAGTTGCACAAGTCCACTCATTTTTTGGACGCCGCTTGTGGGTTATTAGGAGTGAGCAACGGGTACAGATGCCTATGGTGTTAGACACCATGTAGGGGATGTGTGTAACCTTCCGCCACGTCGATATATTTTAATTGGCCGAAGGCAGACGGGTGGAGTTGGGCACTGTGAACGCTAGAGCGATGCCGGATTCAATATTTGGATTCATGCTGCTAAGCTGCTCTGTGATCGGGGGTCGCAAACTCCTTATCGCTTTTCGCACGATAGCTCAAAGGTTTCTCCTACCTCTGGGGTGGAGTTTCGGGCCTCGGCTTTCGGGTCATTTTCACAATCCTCAAATTGCTGACGGCAATGGCTTAGAGTAGCGTCTAGCAACTGAGCAATTTTCAAAACTGCAAGATTGGTGGAAACCCTCGGGTGCCAGTTTAATCCATCTCCAGGGTAGGCCCCCATAGGCCCCTTGCCAGGGGAATGCTAGTATGTTGTCTCCTCCCTCCGAAGAGTTGTGGAGGAGCTCTGACGTACTAGGGACACTGCTTAACTTATGAACTATCAATTCAACGGTCAGGAGCTTGCGCCTTCCTCTACCACAATTCCCGTGCTAAATATTGGCGGAGAAGGGTGAGTGCATTACCGCGAAGTCTACATTATTGGAGAGCATTTGCCAACTTGCACTCGGGCAATCCTTGGTGTCAAATTGCATGCGTCGACGCCCAAGCGAACCGAGTTTGCCCGGGGGTGTTTTGTTTGCTATTTGCTGCCCCATTTTCCATTTTTCTGCGCCATCACTTGCCGTCCCCACTGTGGGCAGTTCCATTTTATCCTCTTTCACCCCTCCCTTGGCTAACCCTGCCTGCACTTTTTACTGATAGCCACTGCAATACCAGGCCTTCTCTCGCCTCTTGGGTCCTGCCTCATCCCTTTTTCCACCTTTCTTCTAGACTGCCCTTTTACCCTCTCCCTCCACTCCAAGCGCCACTCCCACCTTTCAGGTCCAGTCGTGTCTGAAAAGTCTACGTACCCTGCTTGGCAACGCCGCAACCACTGATCACCTCAACA